TTAAATGTTGTTTAGTGATATAATAAGATTGTGGTGACTAGAATCACGTCTAAAGCAGCTCAGTAGACTCGCTGGACTATTTAAGATTCATTACAGTACAGGAAGCTCCCATCAGAGCTAAGTTCTCCTTATTGCATCCTATACATGATTTAGGCTAACAGCATGTTGCTGATGATCATACAGTTTGGTTTTCCATGTTGTTTCATAGTACAGTGATTAATGCAAGGGACTGAAAATGTTCCCAAGACAGGAGAATGAACTTCAAAGCAGCCTGGTACAACATTCACCCCTGGCTTGAGTAGTGCATGATGTTTTGTGCCTTCTTTAATGTGTAATTTTAATAAAAACAAAACCTTAAAATAATTACAGCAGGTTTTATCTTATGGTTTGTATTTGGGAGTATGAAAACAGCCTCAACTAAGAGAGTCTTGTTTTTAATCTTGACATATATCTCAAATTTCAGGGTGACAGGTGGTTTTTAAAAAGTGTTCAAGGTGATGGTGCCTCTGACAACAAAGTGGCCCCCGGCCTTGCCTCCCCCAGTGAAAAATGTCTAGCACCGCAACTGGTTGTACCTGCTGTCTGAGTGCTTCTGGGTAGCTCAGTGCACTCTCTCGCTTCTGCTTGGACCTGTCTGCAGGAACCTCTCCAACATCCAGCAGAGAAGCTCTGTGCTGGTCATGTGCTCTAGAAGCAGACACAAGGGACAAATGATGAAGAGGAGTGTGTACAGGAGATACTGATAAGCACAGCTATTTGGCAGTGGGGTCCTCTTCTGGAAAAGAGAAGTAAAATCTCATGACAATCTACTAATGTAAAAGCTATCACTTTCTACAAATAAAAAACAGGATTTGTGCACATATTGAAACGTTGGAATAAATAAACATTCACTGCAAAATTCAAGGTAGTAGGATGGACACTGACTCAGTATGGTCATTGAGTCTGAAAGGAGGTGCTCGCTCAGAAAGGCTGTTTGAACTCCCAGACTGCTGCACCCCTCCAGGTAGACCATCTGACAAAGAAAATACAAAAAAAATACAAGATAATAAATATACCCTCTGATATATAGACTATACAACATACAGATAAGTGATAAATGAAAAGAAAAAACACCATCAAGTATCTTAGTAAGATGCTGGACCTTTTTTCACTCATCTGTATATACCGGTATTAGTAGTATGTAATATAGCAATCCTAATTTCATCACCTATCTTCTGCTACTGTCTGCCAGCTTTGCTTTGTAATTAACATTTTTGTATATTCAGACCAGGGCAAAAATTGGGCACTAGGATTAAACCAGGAAAGGAATTAAATGTAACAAAATGGGCCATTTGGATGAAGTGAGATCCATTTGGATGTGCTGAACCAATGTCCAATAAACTGTATGCTCCCTTAGTAATAAAATCAGCTCTGGTGTTAAATAATAAGTCCACTTGAGATAGTGATAAAGTGGCTTCATAATAAATGGTAATAGCTCTCTATAGAGAAGCCCTGGGGTTGATTTAAGGCATTGTGAATTACATTCATCAATGAAGAAACTGCCACTGCAAGTCAACACTTTTTAAAATTAACATTTTTGTATTTTAAAAAAATGAACAGGTGTAAAACTATACTTTGATAGTGAGAAAGATAAGGGTCCAGTGGATCTCTTCTTCCATAGTAGTAATAGGATGCATCGTATGGAGTCTTGTAATGGTTTGCTACAGTGGGAGGTACTGGAGGAAGAACAGCTGCAACCCTGAGAAAAACAAAATCACAGAAACCACAGTGAATTAAAAGCAGTGTTGTTAATTTCCCTCTTGTATAGAAACAAAAAGCAACAGTGAACTACCTCGGGATGGCAACCTCTCCTAGCATGTTTGAGAAGTCCCTGTGATAGTCTTCATTAAAATAGTCCAATGACGGGACACCTTGTGCTGATTCCATCCCAGACTCAGGCACTGTCTTTCTTATCAGCTGATTGACAGTTGGGCTGTAGTACACCTGGGACTTCCCTGGGGGGCCTCTCTGTTCTGTGTCTTCAACGGATTTGTCATCTTTAGGCCTCAGATTTGTGTCTTTCCCTCTGTCCCATCTCCAGCTGTCATATTGTCGATTTACAATCCCAAACTGCTTAATTCTGTCAGGCTGGAAGAGGTGATGCATCACACGAAAGAGAGAGAGGGGGTTTATTAAGCTGCTGAGACACAAAATAACTGTGATTCACACAGCAGCAAATAGAGGACTGTGATGAATGTGGTGTTTGCATTACAATAGGATGAGCTCTTAAGAGAGTCACATCATGTAATGTAAATTTTTAGCCCATTCTTGTAATTCCCTTCCACTACCTCTTTCTCAGGGTCTGTGACTCCAGTGGCTGCAACCTTCAGTTCAAGTTCCTTCTCCCTGCAAAAAAACACTAGTGCACATCTTCCCATTCTTTCTAACAGGAATGTACCAGCATACAACACTAATGAAAATGTTGATTAGTGAATACATATTTACCTCATCTTGTTTCTCTGCTGTTCTGCTATTTGTTTCAGAAGCTCCTGCTTATACTGTTCTTTCCTTATTTGAGAGGCTGTTTGCTCTTCTATTGCCCCTGCATGCCAACAGACAGTCACAAACATATACAGTAAGTGATAATACTGAAATGCTTTCAGGTGTGAAATTATATCAATAAACTAACTAGTTTATGGGTGTCATGTAATAAGTCTGGCATTTACCAATCATTAGTCCAGTAGCAAATTCAGCTTGATCCTTTCTGATAGCATTTCTTGTTCTTGTAGTCATTCTCGTGCTGTCTGGCATTTGCAGGCTATTGAGCACAGATACACAGATATAAGCAGAAACTCCACTAAATCCCCTTATTCACATAAAGGTAACAGCACAGCAAGCAGTTGCCCTCTAAGCCACACCCAGCTACTATTTTACATCATACTGTGCCTCACACTTTGCCTGCACATTCTGCAGTCAATCCAGCTCCTCTAACAGAACTGAGTTAAGTTTTTTTTTTTGCCTGGAGCTGGGCCAAGGTTCATACTTCATTACTACCTTATATAAGGAATTCATAAAGTACAAATCAAAGAAGGCGGAAGAAAAATATAAGTCATATAAGAACAAATTAATTGCGATATTGAGGAGATGTAAGAAACAATATTACGCTAAAGTATTAGAGGATAATATAAATAACATGAGAGGTACTTGGAATATATTAAATAAATTGATTAGAAACAGTTCCAGCATGAGTAACTACCCTCAATATTTTATGGATAATGATACACCGGTTAATAGATTGGAGGATGTAGTAGATAAGTTTAATAGGTTCTTTGTGAATGTTGGTCCTGGTTTAGCAAGAAGCATTTGTACAGATGATACATCCGTCACTATAAATAATAATACAATCGAAAGGAAGGAGGTTCTATGTTTTTGAAGCCCATAGTTGAAAAGGAAATTATAGAGATAGTGAATAAATGTGGTAACAAAACATCTAGTGATAGTGATGGTATCACTATGACAACTGTTAAATGGGTAATTGAGGAGATATGCAAACCATTAACCCATATTTTTAACATGTCGTTTCGACTTGGGCAGTTCCCCAATAATATGAAAATAGCAAAGGTTATTCCACTGTATAAATCTGGTGATAAGCACAACTTCACAAATTATAGACCGATTTCTCTGTTGTCACAATTTTCAAAAATTCTGGAAAAACTCTTTAATAACAGATTAGACACATTTATTGATAGACATAAAATCCTCTGATTGCCAATATGGTTTTAGGTCAAACCGATCGACATCTTTGGCCATTACCGACCTGATGGAGGACATTACAAGTGCTATGGATGAGAAGAAATACACGATGGGGATATTTATTGACCTAAAAAAAGCATTTGACACAATCAATCATGAATTATTAATGGACAAGTTAGAAAAATATGGGATCAGAGGAATGGTTCTGAAATGGATTAAAAGTTATTTGACACAGAGGCGTCAATTTGTGAAGTTGGTTGAACACCAATCGAGTGAGCTGGATATTGTATGTGGAGTGCCTCAGGGTTCTGTTTTGGGACCTAAATTATTTATATTATACATTAACAATATATGTAAGGTTTCTGATTTAGTGAAAGTGGTTTTATTTGCTGATGACACTACCATATGGGCATCCGGGGA